CAGAGAGACTGAAAAACAGCTTCTATCTCAAGGCCATCAGACTGTTAAATAGCCATCACTAGAACATTAGAGGCTGCTGCTGCCTATTGAAATCACTGGCCACTTTAAGAAATGGAACACTAGTCACTTTAATAATGTTTATATATCTTGCATTACTCATCTCATATGTATATACTGTATTCTATAATATTCTACTGTATTTTAGTCCATGCCGCTCTGTCATTGCTTGTCCATATATGTATATATTCTTAATTCCATTCCTTACTTAGATCAGTGTGTATTGGGTATATGTTATGAAATTGTTAGATATTACTTGTTAGATAATACTGCCCTGTCGGAGCTAGAAGCACAAGCATTTCTCTACACCCACAATAACATCTGCTAAACACGTGTATGTGACATATAAAATTTGATTTGATTTGATGTGACAAATAAAATTTGATTTGATTTGATATTTCCGCTCCTTCATCCACTCTGGTAGCAAACTGTTCAAATGGTTCTTGTATCTTGAATTTGCCTCCATGTCGCGTCGACTGATAACGCTCTACCAGCTGCTATTACTCCACCTCACGTCAAAATCTGTCCACGCGGGAATAAAGCAATAAGCAGACTGATATGCAGACCGATAAGCAGACTGATAAGCAGACCGATAAGCAGATCGATAAGTAGACTGATAAGCAGACCGATAAGCAGACCGATAAGCAGATTGATCAGTAGACTGATAAGTAGATTGATAAGCAGACCGTAATGCCGACCGATAAGCAGATTGATAAGTAGACCGATAAGCAGACCGATAAGTAGATTGATACGTAGAATGATAAGCAGACCGATAAGCAGACCATTAAGCAGATTGTTAAGTAGACCGATAAGCAGACCGATAAACTGACCGATAATCTGACCGATAAGCAGATTGATAAGTAGACTGATAAACAGACCGATAAGCAGACCGATAAGCAGATTGATAAGTAGACTGATAAGCAGACTGATAAGCAGATTGATACGTAGACTGATAAGCAGACCGATAAGCAGATTGATAAGTAGACCGATAAGCAGACCGATAAGCTGACCGATAAGCAGATCTCCTGCCTTCCCATCTTTGGGACAAGATTCCCATTGTTAGGGCGGAGACAAGACCATCTCCTCATTAAATACAGTATTGCTGGTGAGGTTCACGTGGGGTTATAGGTCACACTGGTCACATGTCCAGTACTACACAGGTGACCAGGAAGTGTTAGCACAGGTGAGAAGAGAGAGCATACAATCAGAGAGGAAGAGGCGACACTAGAGGATTTACTCCGCCCAGAATCTGTCTGCGTATGAAAAGCCCTTTTTGTATAGAGGTCTATGAGACGGTGTTGAATTTTGTGAGGCTTATTTGATAGAATAGATGTTTTGTAATAATAAGGCTGTTACAAATGTACTGATATAAGTGGATACACGTGGCATTCCAGTAACCTTGAGAAAAACGACTTAGTTACCTGTTGTTCACACGAGTATCTACCCTCTCATTGACTAGAATGGATGCACCTGATCTCACTTGCCTTCACTCATTGAGGACATGTTCTACATTTCCATTGTTCGAGCTGGCACTTGGGTATCTTGTAAATATAATAGATAATCTTTGATATAATATAGTTTTACTGTCAAAATTGAACGTTTTCTACATTGTACGGTTACGGTACTTATTCTATGCAAAGTTTGTTGTTTATCTTTTATATCTGCAATAAATAGTAACATCACCCAAGATATATGTCTGGAAATGCAATTCTTTGTGGAAGAGCTTCATGAACTGGTCTCAACTTGTGCCAGTGGCGGGAAATTATAATTTGTATATGCCAGATAGAGCTATGAGGTAGGAATATTATTTTTTTCTCGATATTGTATCTTTGTACTAACATATTTGGATAGAAAAATTAACCAGGCAAAGTATTTATTTTCCATTTTTTATTTGGATTTGATACTGTAGAGAGGACAGGGCTCTGATGACATGAGAGTCGACCTACATGTTGTCTGCTGAAGCGTCCATCTTTCACATCCCTTCTTACCAATCATTCAATGCTAAGCCCCTTCTGTAACTTGTCAGGGTGAGTATTCCAGAGTATTCCAGAGTATTCCAGGGTGAGTATTCCAGGGTGAGTATTCCAACACAAAATAATATGATTCCATGGCCTTCAGTTCATTTATCAGAACAGGAGGTAAAGAAACTAATCTGAGAAAAGAAAAAATGAAGAACATGAAAGAATGATGATAATGAACTAGAGGGTAAATGTTATCAAGTGATTCTTCAATGTGTATTGTGGCGTACCACGGACGAGCCACCAGGGGGAGACGCGTCGAGGTCTGGTGACATACGGAGTCTACATCACGCGGCAGTGGCTCCCTCTGCTGGACGTGCCAGGTCTCGACGGGTCCGCCGGCCAGGACTAATTGGGGCTGATTGAGGCTGGTGAGTAATCAAGGGGCTGATTGCTCACCAGCCGTACGGGGCCCATAAAGCTGCCAGGAGGGCAGCACACGGGAGGGTTGGAGGTAGTGAGAGGTTGCTACCCGATAGATGTCCACACGGTCTGCTAGAACCGAGGGGCTCGGTGTTCTACCCCAGAGGAGACAGCATTCCCCGGAGCCCAGAAGACGGTAACCAGGAAGACGGTAACCAGGAAGAGGTCTCCTGGAGTAGACCGGAACTCTTTTCTGTTTCTTTATTGTTTGAAATAAACACCTTGAAACTGAGGTATCACACCTGTGTCTGATCTGTGTAAACGTCTTAAACCCCCTGGTCTGCCACAGTATAATCAGTGCCATAATTTTGCATGGATGCCAGTATTAGTGCAGATTGGTCGAGGGACTGTGGAGGGAAATGTTCTATCTAGAGATGAAATGAAGTACAATTATAAAATACACACTAGGCTATATGGTGAGAAAGGTCACTACGAATGATTGACCTCTATGAGATGACGCAGAGATAATGATGAGGAAAGATTGTCTTCTACATGATTACACAACATAAACTGCAGCGTACAACTATGAAATACAGTGAACATAATAAAAACACTAATAATGACAAGATGAGCATGCAACACTACACACAGGACACAAAGCCAACATGCGATGGACAAAGTAAAAGACAGAGAACATGCCAACATATAATAAATACATCTATTAATGATATATGCTATTAAAATGGAACATTGATATCCAGAAATATGATACAATGAAATATACAATTGAAATGGATATGAAACTACAGTGAAACACAAGCAAACAAAATGATGGTAAAGCGTGATAATGAAGGAATGAAATGAACGAAATAGAGACCACATGCTCAACTATATAAAGATGACAAAGAGATGTCAACATGAGCATTGAGGAAGATGAAGAACCTTAAAAAAGATGAAGCACAACAACAACAACAACACGAGACATCAACTACTACCGCCCAATCACAGTATGGTAGATTATCAGGTGAGAATCACATTTGGAATCGAGTTTGACATCTGAGGTTTGTGGGGAATCTGAGCAGTGGCTGTCAGTGCCATCTACATCAGTTATCGTAATGCTGCACACACGATAATCTCCAGTCCATGTCATTGGAGGCTGGTGGGAGGAGCTATAGGAGGATTGGCTCATTGTAAATGAGTGGAAGGGTATCAACCACATCAAACATATGGAAACCACATGTCCGACTCTGTTCCATTTATTCCATTCCAGCCATTACAATGAGCCCGTCCTACTATAGCTCCTCCCACCAGCCTCCACTGTTCCATGTAATTTAATAATTTATATAATTTATAAAGTAACGGCAGCAAGAGCCAAAATTGCCAACGACAACGTGTTTTTCTCCGAGCCATTAAACAAGCTTCTATCCCTGAGAATACTTAGTTAGAATATACATATTATATAATAAAGATAGTCATAAATCGTTGATTATACAAAATATAGAAAAGCAGTGTAAGAGAATGAGGGGGTAAAGATGTATGGGGATGCCGGAGTTAAACAGGATAGAATGTTCTATTCCTGGTTCTGTTAAAGTTGTGTGTGTGTACCAGTAAAGGATAGGTGAGACTGAGGGAGGGGAAAAAGGGACGTAGCTTCATCCACATTGTCCCAGTGACAGATTACAGATTACAGTTTACGCTCAGCAATGACCAGCAGCTGTCTCATCTCTACAGAAGTCATGTTTTATATGTGTAATATTCGGCATAGATGGGCAGGTGTCTATGACGACAGCAGAGGTGCCGAGGCACATGAAATGAGATCCCACCCATTTCACGGGTATGTCACTTGTTTGTTTACTCAAGGTTGAGGCTGCTTTGCTTTCGTAAGTGTAGTTTGTTGTGTTCCGTGTAAAGAAGAGGAAAGAAGAAGAGAAGCGTGTGGAGATAGAGGAGGAGAGAAGGGGAAAATGGCTGCCGGTTGCTGCTAGATAGAATATCGTTGCAAACCAGATAATAGATAGACAGCGATACCAGAACAGAGTCCTAATCATGAGCAGACGTGTTGTATGACGTGAACTTTGGCTGCAGAAACAAAACAAGAAACCAGTGAAAGATGGATACACTCTTAGAAGGGTTCCAAAAGGGTTCTTGGCCGTCCCCATAGGAGAAACCTTTTTTTGTTCCAGGTAGAACCCTTTTTGGTTCAAGGCAGAAGTAGAACCCTTTTGGGTTCCATGTAGAAAGGGTTCTACATGAAACCCAAAAGGGTTCTACCTGGAACCAAACGGGTTTTACCTAGTACCAAAAAGGGGTCTACAAAGGGTTATCCTATGGGGACAGCCAAATAACCTTTTTAGGTTCTAGATAAGAGTGTAGACGGTTCTTTTTCTGTCCCGCTTTCTTCCCCCCCCCCCCACCCTTTTTTTTGAAGACAGTTCTTGGCTTTGGTATATGTTTGACAGCTCCAGTCAAACCCAGTGAGAGGGCTCGAGGCAGATGCATGGTTTGAAGTAGATGGAGGTGGATGCAGAGGACTGTGGGATGGATGGTGAAGGTCAGGAGGACTTAGATGATACCATATTTGGCCAGCTCGCTGAGCTCCAGGTGGTTGAAGGCCTCCCAGGGGCAGATCACTGTGATGTCTGCAGAGGAAACACACGTTACGTTCAGTAAACAGTCAGTAGGCCACGCAAACCCTACAGTATGGTTTTCTACACTTTTTAAGGAAGGCAGAGTAGGTGAACAGTAATAATGAACGTACCAGTGCCTAAGCCCTCCATTCCAGGGATATCATCGCCAAAACTGTAAAGGAGACAGAGATCATTTATTTACAATCAGACCTCGTGAAAATGTTTTTTATGCCCTTGTCGAATGCCTGTTTGAGACTAAGAAACCCAATGAATGTGGCCTTACCCCTGGATTCCCTTCTTGGGGGGCTTGCTCTTGAACTGGCGAGTCTGCCTCTGCTTGAATTTAGGGGGTCCCTTGCGTGGTGTTGCAGGGCCTCCGGTGACACGGGTGGCAGACTTGATCTCCAACTTGGGGACCTCGAGATTCATGGTTAGTAGTTAGCTGATTGGTGTGTGCAGGTGGTTATGTGTTCAATCCCTCTCTGATGTAAAGTCGTCTTGATGAAATCTCCTCAACTTGGGAAATGAGAGAGAGAAACAGATTGTATTACATCCACACTTCATGATAGAACTCACATTGTCATAGCTTGGTGTTATCAATTCAGTATTGACCGTTTGGAGTATTGACTGGCTGCATCACCGCTTGGTATGGCAACTGTATGGCTTCTGTATGGCTAGTGCGTATGGCCTAGTACATCACTGGGGTGAGCTCCCTGACATCCAGGACCTATATACCAGGCGGTGTCAGAGGAAGGCCCTAAAAATTGTCAAAGACTCCAGCCACCCAAGTCACAGTCTGTTCTCTCTGCTACCGCACGGCAAGCGGTACCGAAGCGCCAAGTCTGGGACCAAAAAGCTCCTAAATAGCTTCTACCCCAAAGCAATAAGACTGCTGAACAGTTAATTAAATGGCTACCCAAAGTTTCTGCTTTTCACCCCCTACCTACATGTACATAGTACTTCAATCACCTAACCAAAGCTACATGTACATATTACCTCAATCAATCCCCCCAACTATTTGTTAACTTTCTTACTTTTTAACTGCATTGTTGAGAGAGGGCTCGTAAGTAAGCAATTCACGGTAAAGTGAACATTTCATTAAAAGACAAGTCCCTGGCCTTTAACATTGTCTGGCAGATAGACCTCATCCTAACCCCCTTACTGATCGTATTGCCCTTGTAATTTAACGTCCGATGAATGTCTAGCTCGAATAACTAAAAGATTACCCAATTTCATCATATAATCCCCAGCTCAGGTTAATAAGCGCCCCCCCTCCCCTTCCCACCACTCCCCTCCTTCCTCATTTCAAGCCAGTGGCCAGCCATCTACACTTGGGCTAATCTTATTAGTACAAGGACAACACCGAGAATATGCTGAGCAGGCAGAAAGGGTGTAAAGCGACCAATCCTATTATCTACCCCTCATATGATGGTGTTCCAAAAGCTCACAAGGCTCTAGAATGTTTCTTACTGGAATCCATTGTGCATTTTGTTTAACTCAATAGGAAGTCACTTTTAATGCACAATGATGCATTGAGCAGCAGTTGCAGCTAAGAAAATGAAATATGAAATTCAGCCATGTTTCCATTCACATTGACTGATGTACAATACAAAATACAAGAATGTTCAGAAATGTGATTGTTTTGTGTCTAATCTACAGCTGCTACGTGTAGCAGGTACATTTCAAACATTAAACAGATCTCGGTCTGAAAAATGTATCCACACTACAAAGTCACAAAGTAGTTCTATCTAAATCCATTCAAGAAACTCCCAATATCAATATCACCACTCAAAACTCTCTCCCACACACATTCCCTCTTCAAGTGCCAACTATTCAGCAAGTAGTATATTTTCTTACTACTTGAAAAACTGCTCTCTTCCCTCCAAGGTTGAACAGTACAGTTACAAAATCCATCAAGTCTCTGTCATCATGGGCTATGTGTCTGAATGGATGGTGGGTGTACTCACCTGCTGCTTCGGTGAAGGCTAGCCAGAAAAGTGAACATGGGGGCGCTGAGCGCAGCTCTCTCCAGCAGATGTGTGGGTCTCTATGCTAGGTTGGCTATGAGGACCAGGCCGGGCTGGCCAACTTCTTATATTCCTCGTGGCCCCTCTGCAGATTAAGAGTGTCCCGCCTCCCATCCCTGACCCGCTGTTATCGTGGCTCTGGCCTGAGGTGGGGGTCAGTGGGGGAGGGTCAGGGGGGTGGGAGTCAGGGGGACCCTTGTGAAGGGGCGGGGAGCAGAAGAGGGGGTGAAGGGAGATGGATGGAGGTTAATTACAGCACAAAGGCAGCAATAACTTGAATGCATTTAGTGTTGATTGTATTCTAGCATGTTCTCCATAAAATCCAAGATGACACCTTCAATGGTCTTTTATTCACGGTCTTCAAAATCATTCAAACTAAATGCAGACACATAATAATGGATCCCAAACTGCATGGAGATGTGGATGAATCAACTGGATGAATGACGTAAATATGGCACCCAGAAGCAAATCAGTTCCTGGATTTAATGATAAGACTGTCACGAGAGATTATGAATTATGTAGCTAAAATACATTGTTGACTTGGATGGTGATGAAGATTCTCCATATGTCGAGAAACTTCCAGTCCTATCCCTACCTACCAGAACCTTCCAGTCCTATCCCTACTGACCAGAACCTTCTAGTCCTAGCCCTACTGACCAGAACCTTCTAGTCCTAGCCCTACTGACCAGAACCTTCTAGTCCTAGCCCTACTGACCAGAACCTTCCAGTCCTATCCCTACTGACCAGAACCTTCCAGTCATAGCCCTACTGACCAGAACCTCCAGTCCTATCCCTACTGACCAGAACCTTCCAGTCCAAGCCCTACTGACCAGAACCTTCCAGTCCTAGCCCTACCTACCAGAACCTTCCAGTCCTATCCCTACTGACCAGAACCTTCCAGTCCTATCCCTACTGACCAGAACCTTCCAGTCCTAGCCCTACTGACCAGAACCTTCCAGTCCAAGCCCTACCTACCAGAACCTTCCAGTCCTATCCCTACTGACCAGAACCTTCCAGTCCTAGCCCTACTGACCAGAACCTTCCAGTCCTAGCCATACTGACCAGAACCTTCCAGTCCAAACACTACCTACCAGAACCTTCCAGTCCTATCCCTACTGACCAGAACATTCCAGTCCTATCCCTACTGACCAGAACCTTCCAGTCCTATCCCTACCTACCAGAAACTTCCAGTCCTATCCCTACTGACCAGAACCTTCCAGTCCTATCCCTACTGACCAGAACCTTCCAGTCCTAGCCCTACTGACCAGAACCTTCCAGTCCAAGCCCTACTGACCAGAACCTATCAGTCCAAGCCCTACTGACCAGAACCTTCCATTCCTATCCCTACTGACCAGAACCTTCCAGTCCTATCTCTACTGACCAGAACCTTCCAGTCTTCGCCCTACACACCAGCCCTCCCACCTGTTACGTAATCCTCTCTCCATCCATCTTCTGGGCCTGGTTCTCTGGGCTGGCCTGGCCAAGGGGTGTCAACAAACCCCCAATGCCCATCCCTCCGGAGTATCTCAGATTGACTGTTACTCAACGCACCAAATATGCTAATCCTCTACTGTGAGTGTCCTCAAGGTAGGCGACTCACCAGATGACTCACTTGTACCTCACTCTAAAGACAAATCCATGAGCTCTCAGATGGTTGCACACTTGACTGCCTGCAGCCCCCCCCCCCCACTCTGAAAAACAGAAAACAATTACTCTGACTGCAGTTGTGGATTATAGTGGCTGGCTTCTGTTCTCTGGTTAATTAATTACATAGGGTAAACCCACCGTGCGGCCGGGATTATTTCACCTCAGTGGGATTATTTCACTTCAGTGGTTATTCACCAATCTGTTTTCAATCTTGCTCATCATCTACAAGCATTAGATTTCAAATGAATGACAGACCAAATAGATTGCATGTGGCTATGCTGCCCTGAGGATGTGTCTGTCTGTCTGGTCTGGCTGTGCCTGGTCACCTCTAAACTCTCAGCAGGAGGTTATGACTCATTCTCTCTGTGTATGGAGTTAATGAAGGGTGAAGGATCACTCAGGAGAGACAGCAGACAGAGGGCCACTATCAATGTAAAAAAAAAAGTACTGTATTGTCAGGGATCAGTCCATGTACTACACACTCTGATCGGTAGCCTATGAGATTAATGCTGGGACAATAATTATTCCTCCAGACACAACGCATATGAACTGTTCTTCCCCTCAGATGGCTTCGTTTTGTCCAGACTTCTAGTATTTATCCTGTCACTGCTAGAACACCCTCTATACTCCTCTAGTATGGAGCACATGTCAGTGTGAGATATTCATCAGAGCCAAAGGCTAGTTGGCCGATGGCGTTGACCGTAGCACATTCCATGTATTGTACTACATTCCTCTTTGTTAAGTGAATACCGATAATGTAATATAAATATAATAGATTAGATTAATATTACATCATGTGGCTAAACATTGTAATGTTTATTAGACAAGGCATAGGCTAAGTGACATGTGACATGGAAAGAAAGGATACATCATTGCTTCAGAGTGTATTGCATTGTAAACTCCCAGGCATCGATCTCACCAAACAACACTGCACTTTACTAGGATCCTGAGTTGACTTCATTCACCTTAGCTGTAGTCAGTCAATCACAAATTGTGATAATAATGCTACATGTCACAATGTTCCTTACTGCCAAATGCCCATGTCACAATGCTCCTTACTGCCAAGTGCCCATGTCACAATGCTACATGTCACAATGTTCCTTACTGCCAAGTGCCCATGTCACAATGCTACATGTCACAATGCTCGTTACTGCCAAGTGCCCATGTCACAATGCTCCTTACTGCCAAGTGCCCATGTCACAATGCTACATGTCACAATGCTCCTTACTGCCAAGTGCCCATGTCACAATGCTCCTTACTGCCAAGTGCCCATGTCACAATGCTCCTTACTGCCAAGTGCCCATGTCACAATGCTCCTTACTGCCAAGTGCCCATGTCACAATGCTACATGTCACAATGCTCCTTACTGCCAAGTGCCCATGTCACAATGCTACATGTCACAATGCTCGTTACTGCCAAGTGCCCATGTCACAATGCTACATGTCACAATGTTCCTTACTGCCAAGTGCCCATGTCACAATGCTACATGTCACAATGCTCCTTACTGCCAAGTGCCCATGTCACAATGCTCCTTACTGCCAAGTGCCCATGTCACAATGCTACATGACACAATGCTCCTTACTGCCAAGTGCCCATGTCACAATGCTCCTTACTGCCAAGTGCCCATGTCACAATGCTACATGTCACAATGCTCGTTACTGCCAAGTGCCCATGTCACAATGCTCCTTACTGCCAAGTGCCCATGTCACAATGCTACATGTCACAATGCTCCTTACTGCCAAGTGCCCATGTCAC